TCACTAGTTATTCAAAGATACTATTGTTATGCACAGATCTTCGTGATCCCCAAAAGACAACTACAGAGACAGAATGCTGTTTTAAAAGCAAAGAACCTTCACTTCACACTGGAGCTTGGATCCTCCATGTGTCCAAGATTAGAGAGTGTCAAGCTCAGTTGGGGTGGGGTTTTAATCATAGCAGAGGTTGGGGTGAGGGGATTTCTAAGATTCAGGACCCTTGATTGACTGACATTTGTCTAGGGGTGTCTTGGCGAAAGGGGATTGGTGTGGGCTGGGTTAAGAAATATCTGGTGATCCTATCTACTATGGTTGGAACCTTAAGTATTTCCATTGGAACATTGAGAATTGACCCCTTGGATGATGATTGATCCATTCACGGATAGTGCCTGGGTGGTCTTCACTTTCTGGCTGCTTTCTATTAAGCTTGTCATGGTGTCAGTGCAGCCAAGCAGTAGCAATGTAGCCAAGCTGCGCTGGGCCCTACACTAAAACACAATGTGTAAAAATGATAGAGCTTTGGCCAGGTGTTGGTGCCATATGCCTTTAATGCCAGCACTCAGAAGACAGAGGCAGGTGGATCTCTGTGAGTTCCAGGCCAGACTGGTCTACAGAGCTAGTTCCAGGACAGGCTCCAGAGCAAAACTCTGTGAGCTCACCACTCAGCTCCTAAAAAAAATCAAGAAGACTTATTCTTACTTATAAATGTGTGGCTTATGATTGGCTGGTTTCTAGCCAGGTTTTGTAACTATTATTCTGTTTCTTTTTAACTACAGTCTGTAGTTTTTAATTTTTCTTTATTCTGTGTATCTTTCTTTCCTTCTTACTACATGGCTGGCTGTGTGGGGATGCTTGGCTGCTGGCACCCTCCTCTCCATCTTCCTTTCCACTCATCACTTCTCTCTCTTCTCACGCGTTCTCCTCCTACTTATTTATTATTTATGCCAGCCTTGCATGTGTCTCTCTCCTGCCTAGCTATCTCACAGATTTCACATTCTGTACCCCTGTAAAGTTAGCACTATAAGGATGCTGCACCAATGATAGATGGGAGAGGGTGCTTTGAAATCATCCACGAAGTCTTCAGCATCACTTCTCTATGTTATGATATGAGTGAGTAACATCTTAGTCTCAGTGTTTCCATTATAATATTTATAAACAGATTTTGGCTACACTTGGAATTTATCCTCTAAAATGGCTGTCAATTCCTTACATTCCCTAAATTAAAGACTTTCCAACTCTAATTCTGTCTGGTTATGAGTTATTCTGGAATCTGTCACCATCCTCTGACATTGTACTTTAGTCAGACAGGAAGAGCCATACCACAAACCAAGTACTTTGTGTGAAAAGTTCTTCCGCTAATTATCCTGCACAGCTCCTCTACGTTTTTTGCAAAGCATTAAATCGAAGATTTAATCCAATCAGGGGCTTAGCTGTTTTATAACAAACACAGCCTTCCCTCTACTTCCAAAGCCTTCTTCCCCATTTTCAGGTAGTTTATTATCAAAATCACCTTACCATACATATTGCCAACAGCATGACTACAGCGATCTCTCAGATTCAGGCACTCTACATTCCTCTTCTTTCGGGTGCTCCAGAATTTCCCATTACATTTCACGGCAATCATCCCAAGGTTTTTCTGAAGTTCACTTCAACATCACACCTACATCACACCTTTCTCCTCTCTCATCCAGACCTAAACTACTCCCACATCTTTAGGTATTTCCATAATCACACCCTGTTCTGGGAACCACTGCTTACCCTGATTTCTTTGTCCTGCTCTGAACTAAGATTGGAGATTTTCTAAATAGGAAAATGTATTTCTGGAAACTAGAAGGTCTAAGATCAAGCAGCCCAGACTGTGTGTACTACAGTTCTTTCTTCCTTCAAGATGGTGTGGTGAGCACTGCGTTCCTGCACGACTGAAGTGAAAGGGGAAGCTCAAAGAGGGACTTGGCCTACATTCTCACAAGAGCCCTCTTATGAAGGATTTGTCTCATTCAGAGGGTCAGAATTTTCTTCAACCAATCATTTCATCTCTATATTATTGCATTGACTCTTATATATGAATTTGTATATTATTTATATTTACATATATAATTATCCAACTATATCAGTCCTCATTAATTAAATTATGTTAACCTTTTATTAGGAATGTATAATACCATTATCCCTATAAAAATATTTTAACATAGTGTTTGCCCTCAGAGTATTTTCAGCATTTTCTAAAGGTTGTAAAGAAATGCATAGGGTGTGAGGTTTCCACGGAAGAACTATTCAGTAGTGAGTAGTGTAGATATTTTAGTGTACCTCCAGCCTTCCCTCTGACCATCTCCCTATGAGAGAACTCCAAAAGTGTTTTCAGAGCATTAGCTGATATTCATTCTGCTGTGTGTCTCTAGTCGATTCTGTAGTCATCCATTAAGTTCAATTCTCAGGCAGTGGGCCAAATTTTCCTGCAAGGCCAGAAGTACCTCAATCAGCAAACATTCCTTAGGTAATTTCTCCCTCCTCAGGACAACTGCAATATCACATATGTGAGTTCTGGGAAAGGAGTACAGATTCTCTAAAACAAAAGGAAGAGTCATCTTATTTATTAAGATTACTAAATTTATTAAGATGGTTATAGCAGATGATAAAGGCTCACTCCCATAGCACCTGTTGTAATTTATTATTTCTGCAAACAGAACAGAATAAAATTATATGACACTGATTGAAAATAACAACCCCTTGTCCTATTTTAAAGAGCTAGCCTAGATTTATTTAAAATTGGGATTTTTATGTGAGTGGCTGAAATTATATCTACATGGAACAAAGTTACATCCACACCTTGAGAAAGACTTGAAATTTATAACATATGAAAGTATTGTGTTACTCGAATGCTCAATAAATGAAAATTCAATTTATCTTTAAAGAAAATTGATATACCTATCCAGTGACTCATTCTTTAACCTTTCCAAATGGTCTGCTTTTGTTAATCAACAAGATATATTTGAAATTCATATAACTTACTAATAAATTTAAATTAGCCTAAATGCTGGGAATTAAAACTAGAGTTTGAGTTTTGGTGTGTGTGTGTGTGTGTGTGTGTGTGTGTGTGTCTTTACTTATGTATGTGTGCCACTGATTATCTATAGAAGCCAGAGAGTGCATCTAATATCCTGAAACTAGAGTTATAGGCTATTGTAAAGAACCCTATGTGAGTTCTGGGAAAGGAGTACAGATCTCTTGCAAGAGCATCAAAGTATTCACTCCTGACCCTTCTCTCTAGCCCAAAATCTGGAGTCTTAGTATTTTGGTTTGATTTGTTTTGGGGCAGCGGAGAGGGATGTTCTTTAGAATGAAATGCCTAGAATTTTTTCATGACTTGGCTCATGAATCTCTTGAGTTAGTAGAGTAACAATTCTGTTATTTTATATACTCAAATTCCTCTATCTTAATAGAACTGTAGCATCCCCCACCCCCCAACAAAGGCAGCAAATTAGGAAAGTGACTTTCCCATGTACTGTTTCCTTCTAGTCTTTCATTTGGTGTCATCCATTCCTGTGTTAATAGGAAAATGCTGACTCTGAAGCTGCCTGTGTGCTTCAAGTCTTTTGCTCCTGATTTAACTAGGTTTATACCCTTCATCATTTCATACCCATTCCTTGTTTAATTCATTATTTCATTGACTAACCTGCACAAAACAGTTTGTTGTGCTAATTCCAACAAGCACTCTTTTTGAAACTGTTTTACAACTTGAATACTCAAAATTGAACTGAAATATCTTATAGAAAGTTTTGTAGGTAAAGACTCCATCTTTGAGGAGAGTTATTTCTGATGAGTTTTGAAAACTGGGTATTGTCAACTGTAGGACTTAGGAGAAATGTCTCAGGTAGGAGGACAATGATTTCCTTAGGAATCAAGTAAGACACCCAGTGTCAACCTCTGGCCTCCACATTCTCAAACTCAAACTTGAATATACATGCACATTTGTGTACCCTCTCAAAATAATATATACATATACAACAAAAACACAGAGATTTACATATACACACTTTCATGCAAACATGATTATGGATAGTATGTTGGTTTGTGTGTGTGGGGAAAAGGATTTAAAAACATCAACCATTTCTTGACTGTTTTGCTTTAATGCAATGTTTAAGTAGTTGTTCTTTGCTATATAGTGACGTGTTCCTATAAAACAGTATGACATATATTCACATGCCAGAGGCCATATGCATAGCCATAGACACATCCTGGAAAATCCCAGCCCTGAAGCACTGATAAGCAACATGAGGGACACTCAAGTTCTGTCTTGTTCTTTAATAGTTGTTGGTCTATGTGGTCCATTGGTCTCATGAGTTCAAATATTACATAGTTTTGTTTGATTCACTATTTACCACATACAAAATTGGAACTGCTTGAGAAGCTGTTTCTTAGTTTCAATTTCATGTCCCTAAAATTGAGCTGAGAAACAAGCATTTATTGCTTATTTCTTTTTCAAATAAGTAAATTTGGATGAAAAGTCCTGTTAATGACCATTGAAGAAATGAATGATTGTGGGTCTGATTTAAACATAGTAGTTTGGATCATGTACAAATTCATGTAAGTCTTGCTCAATGATTTGCTATAGGGTATCTCGCTAGGTTAAGCAATTGGAACTATACTTATTTCTCAGCCTATCTATATTCTTCTTATTTATATGTTTTTCATATTTTGAAAGTACACACAGCAGGACTTTTTAATGACACAACTTAAAGGTTAATTTTGCAATTACTCACTGTATTTCCAAATGAAAAATATATTCTCAGGTAAATTTTTGCAGTGCTTTAAATTTTTTAAGGAGAAATGTTATGAATTATAATAAGAATTTTCAAAATGCTGTCCTTAAAGACAATGTTTTTGAAATAATTATGTAGGTAAATTTAATCTTTGTGTTTCAATCATGTGTCCATCTTCATTAGTGATTGGCCACATTAAGGTAAATTACTTTTTAAAGGAATTACTCTTTTATTTTGCAGATTGTTGCCTTGCGTGAACAAAATGTTCATATTCAAAGAAAAATGGCATCAAGTGAGGGATCCACAGAATCAGAACATCTTGAAGGGATGGAACCTGGTCAGAAAGTTCATGAAAAGGTATGATACACATGACCTGCTTTTAAATGGAAATAAATGTCTACCGGCCTTTTCATTTGATAGGAATATAAAAAATAAATCCATATATTAAATGAACTATAATATGTGTTGAGTTTTTTAATCAGAAGTTTACATGTTTTTCTTTACTTATTTTAATTTGTTAATTTTAAAGTTTAATATGTTTGTACTGTACAAAGTTAGGCATATATATGACATTTTTATTAATTGCTATTAATTTTATTATATATACAATTTATATATTAAAGACTTACAAAATATACATTTTAAACTTCACATAAAGTGTTTTGTATGGTACTCTATTGAAGGCACTATATCTGAGTTATTCAGATAGGTGTTATTGCATCCAGTGTATTAATGAAAAATGTTCTTGATAATCATTATTTTTCTGTTTTGATTCATAATTTAAGTTCTTCATCTTATATCAAAGATCCTAGTCTTACTTCTGATAATGAAATATTGTGAAACTTAATATATGGAGCCATTGGGTTTTCGCCAGTTTTATTAATTCATTGATTGATTCATTCATTCACCTTTGAAAGAAACCATTTTTCTTTGCAATATAGTTTAGACACAGGCAAAGGATATAAGCAGCCTGTTTAGGCACTATCAAAAGATAGTTTCAGTCTTTCTAATGTAACACGAGGAACATAAGTTATAACTGGGTCTTAAATTAGATGAAAATTACTTAAGTATTTGCATAAACTGAGCTTAAAAGTCAAGAGAATCTACTTGTTTGCCTGTAACTCTTGATATTTTTGGACAGCTAATCTCCTTGGACATTAAGCTCACATGAAACAAGTAGCTAAACTGGTGTAATTGAAAGTGCCAAGAGGCTCTAAAACCCAGAGATTAAGAAGGAAGTGAGGGAATGATAAGGCAGGTAGCCTTAGATTCCCCATGAAGTGTGAAGCAGCAGCATTCCTCATTGGAGCTGTGGAAACACATGGGGGTGGGGCATTTCGTTTTACTTCCTTCACAAGACAGGGAAACTAAGACACTCAGGTGGGTTTCCGGGGACAACCTTTGGATCTGGTGGCCAACACTCGTACAGATCTTTATACAACACCACTATTTATTGAAAATGTAAGCCACATCTTACTAATAAACAATTTGGGATGAATTTATAAGCTGTAACTGGAATTAAAATAAAAAAAAAATAATTCATCTTTCAGCTAAGTTGGTCCAAAGAGGTTGATTGTACAAGGTATTTGCATTCAGGAAAACGTTGAGGAAGGGAACATAAATTTTACCATTATTCATTCATTTAAATGATGTCATCAGTAACAGATTTTTCACAAACAACTCTAAAAGCACACAGATTTAATTATGAACATTGATTTTATATTACAGATTTTTACTTATGTAACTATAGTGGCAAAATATATAACATTTGTGTTCCTACATTACATGATGAGAAACATAGGTGACGTGATTTCAGGAATAAATAACTCAAATATTTGCCTGTCTTTAACGTACATATATGCACTTACACATCTGCATTTATCTATGTTATGTGCCAGCAAATGATGTTCCATTTAATGACAGGTAATATAAAGGATAATATATGCCAGATGTAGTATGCAGTAAGAATATTATCTAGTGCGTAACTAATCTGTGATTCACAAGTGACAATATTGCTGCATGATATATTATTCATAATTCATAAGACTTTCTCATTTTAGGCAACACACAGCCCCATATATTTCCTGCTCAAATTATAGCTTCTAAGATAGGTAGCCATTGGAAGATTTTAAAATAGTTTCTTTCATGTTAATTCTCAGCTGCACTTACAAAACTGGGGGAAAAAGTAATTCTGTGTAATTGTTTTTGTTCCCTGGCCTCATAGCTACAGGGACACATATGGAAGACTCTGGGAAAAGATGACTTGAAAACTTTCACGATTTTGTTCATTCTTTTGGCAGGAATATATAATAAAACATTTCAAACATAGTGGTTATGGATATTCATTACTCTTTAATTTTCTGCTATTTGTAGAATTATTTCTGTATGCTTGAGACTGACAGCATATTATTGTTTGAAATAACCTTTTAGTATGAGCCTTTTCCTGAATAGTTTTCTGTCAACTTGAAACAAGCTAAAGTCATCTGAGAGAAAAGAACCTTAATTTTAAAAATGTCTCCAGAGGATTAGGATATAGGCAAGCCTGTAGGGACTTTTTACATTAGAGATTGGTGGGGGCGGGCCCAGCCTCTTGTGGGTGGTGCTATCCCTGGGCTAGAGTCCTGGGTCCTATGAAAAGTCATGATGAGCATGTTGTTAGGCAGGTCTCCTCCCACGTGGCCTCTAAATTAGTTCCTTCCTCCAGGATCCATCCCAGTTCGTTCGAATGAATTCCCTACCTGACTTCCTTCAGTTATGGACTACTATGTGGATGTGTAAGCCAAATAAATCCTTTTCTCCTCAGCCTTCATTTGTTTGTGGTGTTTCATCACAGCCATAGTAACCCTAACTAGGACAGAAAATCGGTACCTGAATCATGGGGGTATTGCTGTGACAGACCTGACCATATGTTTTTGGACAGATTATGGAAGTACTTGGAACTTGGGGCTGGAAAATCCATGCAAAACTTGGTGAACTGTCCTGAGGGAACTTGGAAGATTAAGAATGTTGAGAAAAACACAGACAATGGAGGCCTTGCTGTGGAGTTTAAAAGTGAAGCAAAGACTCTACGGGGCCTTTTTTGCAAAGAATCTGTGGTGTCTGCTCAGCTGGAGATGAAAAATAGGCTGTGGTTGTCAAGAGACCAGAAACACTGATGTAAACCCTTCACTTCATTGGGACAACTGATGCTGCTCGGATGGAGCTGAAAAATTAGTGGTGATTAAAGAGGAAACCAGAATCACTAAGGTGAAATCCTCTGGGAAGTCTCCCAGGAGGTAGCAGATCTGGAGGCATGAAGGGGTACGCTGAGGCTTGATACTGATAGAGAGCAGGAGAGGCCATTGGTGAAGGTTAGGCAGGAGTAGCTGTGGAAGCCAGGATTGAAAGTGTCATGGAGAGACTTGAGGCTTTGTACCTTGAAGAGAGCCCAGGAGATGCTATTGGTGAGAGTGCAACACAGTAACACAGTTGCTACAGAGACCTCAGCATTTTGGAGATGCCAGTACCACGTGACAGCCACCAAGAACAATGGCAGGTGTGGAGTGGACAGGAGATGACCACCAAGACAGCAGCAGATATAGAGTGGACCCGGCCTGGCCCTCGAAGACAAACTCAGTGTGTTGCAAAGGGCGGAGCTGGAGAAGTGACCCATGCCCCTTGGAGGAACTCAGAAGATCGTGAGTAAATCCCAGATATTGAACCCCGACTGATTTACACTGTTGAATTTTGGTTTTGTTTCCATCTTGCTGTGACTGGTACCCTCATGCCTCCCTCCTGAAATAACTCACTTTTGATTTTAGAGGAGCCCCTAGTTGAGGTGCTTTCAATTTTAAAGGAGACTTTGGACTGTAAAAGGAATTTTGAACTTCGTTTAAAGAGACTGAATTTTTGAGTGTTTCAATTTATAAGATTGGGGTCCTTCTTATGTATGTAACATGTTTTAATGTTTTATATTGGGGTGTTAATACCAATGTGTGATCTTGGAGATGAACATTAAAGGAGAAGTTATGGATGTATATTGGTGTCTGGGTGTTAATTGGATAAGGGGTCTATTGTGCTAGCTATTTTTTATGTCAATTTGACCCAACCTAAAAAGAAGGAAACCACACTTAAGAAAATAACCCCATATGATTAAGAAATAGGCAAACCTGAAGGTAATTTTCTTAATTAGTGATTGAAGGATGAGGGCTCAGGCCATTGTGGGTGGTGCCACACTGGGCCAGTGGTCCTGGGTTCTATAAGAAAGCAGGCTCAGCAAGCCAATAAGAAGCACTCTTCCATGATCTTTGCATCAGCTCCTGTTTGAATTCCTGTCTTGACTTCCTTTAGTGATGAATAGAAATGTGGAAGTATAAGCCAAATAAACCATTTTATCCCCCAGATTGCTTGGTCATGGTATTTCACCACTGTAATAATAACCCAAACTAGGATAAGCCTAAAGCATACAATTTATACTTTATTCATATTTAAATTTGAAACAAGTAGACTATGATCCATTTTACATTATTAAACCTGTAATTTCTTCATGATTAAATAATTGCTGCATATGAGTGCAAATTTCCCTGTCTTATCAAGTGTGAATCAAATACAGAATAATAAATATGTGTTATTATTTTGATAATTTAAGTAAATAATACAGTTACAAACAAAGGCATTATTAATCATTAATTTCTGGTCTTTTCATAACAAGACCACCTGGGAAATTAGCAATACCTTTGAGTAATAAGTTATCATAAGATTATAATTTAAAGGTTGTTTCGTTAGCTGAATCAAGAATTCATATATAACTAGGCATAAGAAAATAGAATGCAAGTCTGGAGAATGTGTAATGAAGTTTATCAGTAAAGGATTTACTATGATTTCAATGCATAAATTGCCAAGTTGTTATTTAGAAGAAAATAATCTAGATTGCTGTTAACTAACAATAGAAGTAATAGATGGTAATTTGTAATCCTTGTCACAAGTACCACCTTTTGTTCAGAGCAGTAAAATTATTTAAGTTTCATACTCAGGATAGATTATTAACCATAACAGAATGTTTTATATCAGTGTATTGATAATTCAGCCAGGCAAAAATTCTAGCAAGGGATAAATACTGATCTACTACCAGAGGCCCAATAGACTGCCCAGTCATTCTAATACCCACATTCAGGGGCTCTGGGCCGATCCTATTCTGGTTTCCCAGCTATCCAGTCTGGAGGTCCATCAGCTCCCACTTGTTCAGGTCAGCTGTCTCTGTGGGTTTCTCCAGCCTGATCTTGACCCCTTTGATCATCACTTCTCTCTCTCTCTGTGACTGGATTCACGAATTCAGCTCAGTGTTTAGGTGTGGGTGTCTGCTTCTGCTTCCTTCCGCT